GGCGCCCCATTAAGTCTAGTTTTGAAGTTCTTCTATCACAATTGTCAGAATAAAAACAAGGTTTTCTCAGTTTGGTCATTTATTGGTTGACAAAGAAAATAGTACCATGACAGAAACATCCTCATCATCATCATCACAGTGAATCATCTAAAAGAAAGAAATGCTGGTGCACAAACTCAAACTGAGCCTCACATTCACAGTTCAGTGAGCGTCATCGTCTCACCACGGAGGCTGATTCCAGTTTAGTTTAGAGAGTAGAGCTGCATTACAGTAAAATATATTAGTACCACATAATCAGAGCCATGAGGACAGAACAGCTCGATTGTACTTCATATTCTCCCTTCATGAGTCGTTCAACAAAATGGAGAAAAGATGCAGAAATGAACCCGTCTTTAAGGCATGGTGAGCAAAACAAGGAGCTCTGGAACACTTTCAATCAAGCTCACAATATTCATTAACTAGCTGCTTATTAGCATGCTAACTAGTAGCACACTGGCTGCTTATGAGTAGCTTATTCTACAGGAACATAGTTTATATGTATTGCTTAGTATGCCCTTATAAGGTCGCAGTAAGCAAAGCATGTTAAGATCATATTTCATGTTCAACAGCTTCCTAATTTACAATGAATCAGCAGAAATCAGGAGGGCAAACTCTTAGTTAATGACCTGTTAGCTGTAGACTGTGGTCATGTAGAGGAAGGTACTAATAAGCTGTTAATAATGACTAATAAGCAGCCAGCATGCTACCAGTTGCGGCATGCATGCTAATCAGCAGCTAGTGAATGGTGAACATTGTGACCTTAATTGAAAGTGTTACTCAGATCAGGAAATAAAAGTAACCTGAAGTTAATGTGAACAGTCAGAGTGAGTATTTGAATCTCTAACATAAGAAAGGAGGAGTTCTGTTTTCTAAGTTGGCCTCGCCTCCGTTATGATGTGTTGAACGATGGAAACAAATCCAACAGTGACTGTGCACTTTCATGTTGAAACGTCTTCCCTGAAACTACACGATGCAGCTTTCAGCATCAAGGGAGGAGATGGAGCTACATAATTCATTCAGCTACATCTGATTTAAGATGGAGTTTGTTTTATTGCTTCTGTGTGACGAGGCACATCAGATGAACCTGCTGCTCTCGGTTCAGTTTTAAAGCTACTTAAGAGCACACATTACTCTGACTTATTTACTGTGTTCTGTTTGTCTCTATAGTGATGATTTAAATGGCTCCAGACTTTGAAGACGATGATTATGTAAAGAACAACAGATGTCAAGCATTTAACATAGAGGCACAAAATGAAGCAGCACAGAGAGAGGAGGTACATGCAACACATTCAGAGGCTGCTGCAGACTTCACCTTCAGAAATTGATTAGTGTAACTCTGCAGGAGAATCTGCAAAAGATTTACAAACCAGTCTGTGCTGAGAGGAAAACAGACCACAGCTACATTTGTAACAGCAGCGGCCCTTATATGCACAAAAAAAGAAACAACCAAAGACGATGCCATTAGGAACTCCACGTCGAGAATATTAAAGCTACAGCCAAACGTGTTCAGCTGAATCAGGTAGACGACGTGTTTTTCCAGATTAAAACCCAGGAATGCATGAAATATTTGACATCGATGTAACGTGTACCGTACGGACGTCCAGAACACTTCAACAGGAGAGAATCCTCATTCAGAGGTTTTATATATTTGTAATTAAGTGCGGCTTAATGATCGATTATATTGTCACTAAAGCTGTTTTTACATCTGCACTCCTTAAAATATCTGGAGGACTTCAGGAGGACTGCTTCTGAGATTCTCCTGAGCCAGTCGTTCACACATGCACCTCACAGGAGAAGACTATTCTGGTTGGACAGGAGGCGGGGCAGGGAGGGTTTTCCTGAGGCAAGATGATGCGGAGGTGGAGCCGTTTAGAGTCGCCCCTTTTATTCCATGCCTTCTTCTCAGAGCCCCGCTCCTGTCTCACAGGGAAAGACTCCCGCTGTGAGGTGCATGTGTGAACAGGCAAGTCAGGAGGATTTCAGGGGCCTGAAATGCCTAGAAATGATCAGGAGTGTGTGAAAACAGCTTAAACGAACAGAGAGCTGCTGCAGGAGGGAAAACGACAGAGATGGAAACTTCAGTCACTCTGTGGTGCTAAAGGTGAATTTACTGGTACCAGTGTGAGAGCATGTTTCCACAACAACAGGAAGTGCTTACTTCTCACAGTGACCGGACACTTTCCGCTCGTCTTTAAAGTCGATGCTTCTTATTCTGAACTTTTATTTCCCTCCATGCTTTATTTTTTTCAAACCGTGTGTTGGTGAGCGTGTTTAAAATCCAGAAGGATCTAAAATCATCTCTCACAGCGCCTCTCTGTGTATTAAACACACATTATAAGAATGAGTTACAACATGTCCTCTCTTCACATTAAACCTCACACCTGCACCACGGGGTTTCCCCCTCAACTGTCAGGGATCTCATTAAGTTTTAGGGGCTTCTCGCTGTTTAAATTAGCATATT